CAACCACCCGCAACAGCGTGCCAGGCCGCTGTCGTGCGATGGCCAAACTGTTTCTGACACTGAGCCGTTGCACTGCTGGCCCGAAACGGCACGCCCGCTGCCCGCGGCCCGAAGCGGCACGCTAGCTTCGCGCTCCTGCGCGCAGCTCGAAACGGCACGCTCGCGGCGCAATAGTTTTTCCCCGGCTGGCCCCACGCGCTCCGCCCACTTAACTTTATGCCCAGCAGTTTTTCCCCGCCGCGCGGGAACTTTTGCTTGTCTTATCCTAGCGCGCGGCCCGAAACGGCACGCCCGCTGCCCGCAGCCCGAAACGGCACGCTGGCTCGGCTTCGCGCTCCTGCGCGCGGCCCGAAACGGCACGCTCGCAGCGCGATAGTTTTTCCCCGGCTGGCCCCACGCGCTCTCCCCACTTAACTCTATGCCCGGCAGTTTTCCCCCACCGCGCGGGAACTTTTGTTTTTATTCTAGCGCGCGGCCCGAAACGGCACGCTAGCCGTTTCGATATATTTTCTCCGGCTGGCCCCACGCACTGCGCTACCTCGGCTACGCGCTCTTGCGCTCGGCCCGAAACGGCACGCTCGCAGCGCTATAATTTCTCCCCGGCTGGCCCCACGCGCTCCGCCCACTTAACTTTATGCCCAGCATTTTTCCCGCCGCGCGGGAACTTTTCTTATCCTAGCGCGCGGCCCGAAACGGCACGCCTGCTGCCCGCGGCCCGAAACAACAACACCACCACCAACAACAACAACAACCACCACCACCACCAACAACAACAACAACATCGATCTTGCGCGCGGCCCGAAACGGCACGCTCGCAGCGTGATAGTTTTCCCCGGCTGGCCCCACGCGCTCCCCCCACTTAACTTTATGCCCAGCAATTTTTGCCCCTGGCTCGAAACTTGAGACACTCTTGGAAGCAACATAGCCAGATTCAGACGCCAATGCAAAAAGCTGCAGAAGCAAAACGATGAAAACTCGCCTCAGAATCTCCGAAACAGGGCCTTCTGAAACATGTACAACAACTGGCCACCTACTTCAATGGGATCACTGGCATCAGAAATCAACCAATTGTTGCGTTTTCTTGTCCCACAAAGAACGTTGCGTTATCTTGTCCCACAAAGAACGTTGCAAAAAAACAGATCTCACAGCAATACAACCTAAGTGTGGTTCCCTAAGTAGCAGGAAACTTGACATCGAAGACCGTCAGGTAGCAACCGGTAGCCTTTGCCGAGCGACTCCCGGTTCTCTTGCTCCACTGTCCAGCAAAGAATACTCGACGTGCCCCGCTCCTTGGTCTCCTTGATCCACGCACGACGCCGCGAAATTTCGACTGTCCGTGATCTGTCCGCGGTCATGCGCTCCATGAGGTCATGAGGTGCGGGTGGTTGGTTAATTTTGATAATTTGATCCATTCAGCGTCATAGTCATCGCATCTTAGCCTGATCTTGCGGCCATAGACCTTGGGTTGTGGACAGCGCACGCTTGAACACAATGACATCATTTTTAATGGCAAGCTTAGCTTCAATCAAACACACTCAAGATTAATTCAGATGTTGCAGCCTTTTTGGAAACCCCTGTTGGGTTGACGAGCTGTTTCTTGGGCAAGCAGTCTGAAATCATAGCGCTGTGGCTCCAAGGTTCAGTTTATGCAGCCTAGGGGCTGCAGATGCTCTTCTGATGGAAAAGAAGGAAAAGGAAGCCCCACAAATTTGAGCCAAAAGCTGCTCAAGGCAAAAAGTGCCCCAGCTATTTTTGGCATGTTTGACAGCTACCCAAGGCTGATGGAACGTTTTGGGCAGCAATGAAGCCAAATATGACCCAAGGCTGTGGTGCAACCTTGCAGCAGAAGAGGGCTTAAAAGAAACCCTGGTGCCCTTGTTTAGCACTGATATCTCAATGGTTTTCAGCTTCGGGGAAGTTTGAATACACCCTGTGACAACAAAGTCCAGCAAAGTTTGAAAGAAAGCCCTGTTGACGGCTCTTTCGTTTTGGCAGCCTGGCCAAGAAGTGCCACAGAAACATACTTGGGGTGAAATATTCCAAGTTTTAGCTTGAAACTTTACAGTTTTGCTGGAAAGACTTCATCCTGCCAAAGGCTGGGACAACAACCCGTTGCCAAAAGAATTGGCTGGGCTTGCAAAAAATCAAATTACCAAGCAATTTTGGGTGGCTATGAGAAAAGTGAAGGGCAAATGCCCATGGGATTTCAGGGGCCAGCCAGCATCTAACTTGCTGGCAGCAGAGGACTTGAAAGAGAGCCCTGCAAGCCAGCATGTTTTCTTGACAAGTTCCAGGGCAGAACGCAGGGTGTGCATTGATGTGCTGCGCACCCTGGATCGAGCCTCCAATATTGAAAGGACACGCTGCTGAAATCACACATTGAGTACCTGCTTTGGCTTGGAAAAAAGCCATCTCAGAAGCACGCGCGCGCATGGCTGAAAGTTTGACAGCTTTGTCGAACTCTTGGCTTGTGTGCCGGGCAAGACTTTTACATGACAAGAAGCTGAGCAGTCCATCAAAAAATGTTTGAAGGATTATGCCTGGCTGCAAAGCCATGTCAAAGATGGCAAAAGGTTCCACATCACTCCCGAATTTCATTTTGCGCTGCCAAGGACACTCTGGACTTGCAAGAATGCTTCATGGGGGCCATGGCCCAGTTAGCCCATTCATACGGTCATGGCACAAGGGCTTGCAAGATAAGCCTGTCCTTTGTCCCCAAGATGCTGCTGGCCATGCAACTAAGAATCATTCAGTACAGCTTGAAAAAGCTGTACTGCCAAGTTGCTTGAAAGAAGGCACTGTTTTGAGCACCGCGCGTATATGTGAAAACAGGAGCAAGCTGGCATCAGTGTTAATTGATCAATGCCGCAAAGCTGACAAATAATAATATTGGTCAGTAATTCAAGAATAACTGGTTGTCAGCGACCGATACCAACCAACATAATACTGACCATTATCCGACCAGCACCGATCAATACCAGGATGTTTGCACGAATAGCTGGTGTGTATCAATTGGGAGCAATAGCAATTGTTTTTTCAATGTCGGAACCTCAGGGTCTATTGTCAGGTTGATTGTGTTTTCGGACGGCAACCGCGCACTACAAGAACTCACACCAAGGCCAACGTTGACCGAACTTGATTTTGGAGCTAAAGGGGAATGCGGACCCCAACATCGTGTCAAAGACGGGTGGCGGTGTATAAACCGTAGGAGCGATGCGTGCAAATGCATTTCGGGAATCGGATGCGAACCAAGGGCAATGGGAGTTCGATGCCCGCCAAGAGATTGGTTCGCGGACAGTGCAGAGGGGCAACCCCACGGTGCCCCTATTTAGTACATCGACACGGCTGATGCCTATACACAAGGGCTTGCCGTCCTATCAAGCCGGGACATCGCCTTCCGCAAGTCACACAGCGCATGTGCAACCGGTGGAATTACGTCAACCCAAACATTTGCATGGTATCACTTTTCATTGGTATGACCGCGACCTGAAGTGCAACATTGCGATGACCATATGTGGCACTGATGATGTCAGCTCGTGCTTCTGGATACAATGGTTTCACTCTGGCGTGGAAGCAGTGGATAGTCTTTACGTTGATCTCAGTCCTTGCAGCCTGTGTGCAAGGCTTTCATGTCTCACGTCAATGGATCGTTTGATGCGTTTAAGATATAGGTCCCGGGCACTGGAGGTTTCACGAGTGTGAAAACCCAGGCCCCGCGCCATATTTTCAGTCATGTTCTGACGGCGATCCCTTTGTGTCCCAAACTCTGCGTTGAGGTGTTGGCAGAGACACTGCAAGCAAATACTGCAGCAAGACAACGCAAACAAAACGCGGCAGGCAAGCAACGCAAACAACTGCAGCAAGCAGTCGCGGCGCAGCCAGTAGGACACGCAGCACTCTTTCGAGGCAACGCGTTCCAAACCTGAGGGCAGGCTGTGCGAACCCAGCCAGTTGCACGGTCAGTTTTTCTGCCGGCCTCAGAGGCAGTGAGGGTAGTTCTCACAGTTGACTCATGGCACTCAAGACAACATATACCGCACATGCAAGTGAGTGACAAAAGTGCGCGACAGACTCTGGAGCCACAACCACGATCCCTACTGGTCTGCGGGCGAGGATCTTCAACAAGCCTACAACCACCGTACAACCTCGAAACTTGCATTGATTGCTTTTACCACCAGCGGTGTGGTTCTACCCTACACGGAGCGGAAGGGGTGCATCCTGGTTATCATATCACACACAGGTGCCACATTACACTGTTGCGCGTTACGCCCGTTTCGACGATAACAACTTTCCACCGAGAAAATGGGGAGCAACCGCCAAAAGTGTGCCATCAAGGAACCCCCCCATTTTCGGCAAAACGGAGGCTCAGTATAGTATGTCATCCTGCAGTTCGGCGTTGCTGCAACGTGCGAGAAACGTACGAAGAAGGATATGCCAAGAGCCCAAAGACTTATGGCGCGGATATTTGCTGCTGTTTTTCATGTATGTTCAATAATATGTAAAGCTGCGTTAGTTGGACCCGCCGTGCCGATCCGCGGTGAAACTCGTGGATTTAACCCATGATGATCCCTGAGGGATTTCCCGCTTCAATCGAACGTGCTAGTCGAGGGTGTGCAATTACCTTCAGATCGCTGCGAGGCCCTGAAGATCCCAGATGCTCTTTGACACCCCTTCCCTTGTTTTGGTTGGGTCACTCATCAAATAAATATTGTTGTTTTTTATTATCTACTTAATTGTCTTCCTTTTTAATAACTTCTCTACACGCTTCATCAAGGGGGCAAGGCCTGTCTTGACGATGAAAGCCGCCGCAAGCATGGCTGCTCCGAAACGGCTTCCCTTTCCCAGGAAATTATTGAGGGACCCCTTGCAAGCGACAATTCCTATTCCGTTGCATTGCTTGGCAAAGCGCGCCGCAGAGCCCCTTCATAAGGTTGTCGCTCATTTTGTGGACCCTCACTTGCTGTGTTTTGCACCGTAACCTTCTGCGCATCAAAACGCAGGGAAGACCACCGCATCTCGGAGCAAGAGCACCTCTCGGTGTTGCAAGAGCTGGGATGGAGTGAGGCGTGCGCTGCTAGGACCCCAACCACCCCTGCCCCCTCCAGACACTCAGTCCGGCTGTGTACCTCATGCCTCAAGAACCAAAATTCCAAAACGAGCACCTTTGCAAATAGGATTGTTTCTACGGAGATGGCCTGGTGCTTCCTGGCTGGTGGGCGAACCCAGCAAGGAATGATTTGGACCCTGGGTGTCAAGTAGCAGAGCTTCCACTTATCGCCTTATGCTCCTTGATTCCGCTAACTTTGCGCCCAGTAGCCAAGAGTTGAAGCAAATGAGGCGGACCAGCGAAGCAGCAATGGGTACTGTTCGAAAACCTTTCTTTTCGTCTTTTGTTTTGAAGGGAACGAAAGGAAGGCACACCGCTGGCTTTTGAAGGGTGTTGCCTTATGTTTGGACATGTTGGTACAGCTGGAAAGACGGGACGCTTTGTGGGCGCGCTGCAGACAGACTAGTTTGAAACTAGTTTGATCCATTGCGCCCATGTCGAGAATTGCAAACGTTCGGGTCGCCATGTTGTTAGCCATTGCAGGACTAACCATGCTGGAGCGTTGAACGCGCCGCAAATGATGAGTGATGCGCCGCGCGCGCTCCAAGTACACACACCCAGTCACACAGACAGAGACAGAGACAGAGACCGTGCCACCGTGTCTTCAATCGCTGAGTGGTGAACTGGGGTGGGCGGAGTGCTTGGATTGGGGATGGAGTGGAGTAACTGGGCAGAGGCAGAGGCAGTCGCAGAGAGACAAAGAGACAGACACACATTCAGAGACAGAGACGGAAGACAGACACGAGACAGACACGAGACAGAAAGAGACAGACGACAGACAAACAAGCGCGAAAGAGAGAGACCAGAGACTCAAGAGAAGAAGGGACAGATGAGACGGATCTTCCCTGGTATGGGGGGCGCTCTTGCAAGCCTTGACTCATCCGCCGGACCCAGTGGCCAGGAGGGCTTCGGCCGGGGCTGGATGAACCCAGAGAACTGCACGCAGGCGACTGCGGAGGGCAATCTTTCAAGGGGTTACGTGAGGCCATAAAGCCAAAAAAAGTAAGATTGTCTCTTGTAGTACTTTAGTGAAACACACGTATGGCCCCTAGCAGGAGCATTTCTCTTAAAGGTATGCGACCTGCTAGAAATTTCTGATGGCTGGCTAGAGTTCCATTGAGGGGGTGCCCTTGGGATGCCGTTGCAATTTGGGTCATCAAGAAGCCGGAGCCCTTTGTGGAACCATTTTGAAAAGAAGGGCCTTTTGTTCAGTGATTCTGTGTTGTCTATTTCGGACTTTGTTTTTTTCCAGGCTGGTTGTCGGCTTTGGGGCTTTCTGTCGGTTGCCCCTTTTAAGACCTGGGCTGTTCGAAGGTGATCCTTTCTTTCCCTCGGGTAAAAGCAAGATTTGGGGCACACCTTTCAAGCGTGGAGAAAGTCTTTTGGGATGACTCTAGTGGATTGTCTTTGGGGCCGTCGGGCGTGTCTTTGAGGATAACTTTGTTTGGGAAAGACTTTTGCTGCCGTTTGGAAGATCTTTGAGGATGCTGCTGCAAATATTGCTTGGTATGTCGTTGGGGTCTTCTTTCTTTGGGGTTTGGGGTTTGGGAAGGTCTTTCGGAGTGTGTTTTGGGATGTCTGCAGTGTTTTTTGGCCGATGACCACGAACGCTTGTCTTGTTTGCTTTTAAGAGGGGAGCGTCCCGGACATCGGTTTCTAGGTTTAGGAGGCCAACTCCTTCTGTAGCTAGAAATCATTTGTGGGAGCAAGGGCCCCCGGCGTGTTATGGCGTTCTTCAAACAGCGCTTTCGAGATTAACAGATAGATGGGTCCAAGAACATGGTAACACGGCTTTTCAGCATCCCGACTCCCAGCTCGCGCGCCTCCTCGTCAATGAGTGGCAACTGCGGTACTTTTGCATGTTTTTACGGAAGCCACGGCCCGAAACAAGACCCAGAAGAACATAAGACGGGGGCAAGGGCGACGGAGAAGGATGCTGATCATCCCCCCAACCACCCACCACCCGCCCCGACTTTTCAATGATCTGGGGATCCCAGAGGACGCGTCGCTAAACACACGCCGCACAAACTGCGCAATGATCCCCGCCGACACTCCCAATGGCATCATGTCCGCAAGCGCTTCCTCCAACAACCAAGGCCATCCCCAGCACTCTGGAAGACATCCAAGGCTCCACACTTGTTATTTTCGAAAGCTTCGCGTCTGCCTCCGCACTTGTTTCTACGTGCTGCGCACTTCGACGCATCCTTCAAAGGCCTGTGGCTGTCACGAAAACATATGGCTTCACGCTTCCAAGTGCCGCGCCTGCCATGAAAGCCTGTGCTGAAGGCATAGCGTCGCGCAAAGATGAATATCACGGGCTTGCACTCATGCATGCGCGCACACGTGCGCGCGCGTGTCATCAATACTGGCTTTGGGAAGACTGGCCCCAAACGCAGGCGCTGCAAGGGATGCTGGCGATGCGCGAAGCGCAGGGGCTTCCGAAGGCGTCGGCTGCTGGCAGCGCAGCCGGTTTGCTGCGTATTTGCTGCCTTCCCCCAACTCGAGCGCCAATGGCCGCGCAGGCGGTGATGATGCACCAAAGGTGCTGGACACGCAGACGATGCGAGGGTTTGGCGGCAGCGACCGTCAGTCAGAAGGCAAAGCCAGGCATACGCCCCTTCGGGCGTCGTAGCGCTGCGATTGACGTTGTTGGCGCACAACCGGCCGCGGCAGCACGGCCGCGGCAGCACCGCGCTGCTCCATCAGCAACAACCGACGAAATGCCGGGCTGCGACCTCAAGCCGAGAGCAATCGAGCGCTCGCCGGCAAAAGCAGCGCAAGGGCGTAAGCGACTGTGTCATGAGTCGAGCAACTCGCTCAGCACTGCGCACACCTGACACGACCCGAGTGAGCTTGTGTTCAAAGGACCTGCGCATAAGCAGCCGAAGACGCATGCCAGTAACAGCTAGCGCCGGTGCTATTGTCATACGGGTGTACTCTTGGAGTTGGTGGACAGGGCATCCGAGCAGAGAAGCAGCGCCCACTCGTGCAACATTCTGTTCGGTGTGTTTTCCCTTAACTTGGTCTGAGAGGGCGCACGTTGCTCCTGAAGTGTGTACCCTTTACAGGGAAATGAAGCATGTGTATTTTTGGGTTATTGTATTGATTGAGACAACCATATATGTAATATTTGCATGTACGATCGTTTTATGTACGTGCTCGCTGAAAGGGTATATATCTATATATGTATGTATGTATATATGTATAAGCTTTTGTTTTCACTGCTTTACATTTACGTACGTCTTGACACAGCCCCACATGCAAAAGTTGGGTGTCGCGACCGTTTTATGCACATCCTGGCTAGAACCTGAAACTTATTTTTGGATGTGACTGTTTCTCAATCTCATTTCTACTAGTGGTTTGTGATATATGTACTGGTCAAGACCAGATATACCAAATTTGAATTTTATGTTTTGCTGTTCTTGTTTTAAACGTACCTGTCACAACAAAAGCAAACACACCGAAACAAACGAAGGTCAAACCCACAAAACAACAGCAGCAACGACGACAACAACAACAATAACAACAAGGACAACCGCAACCACAACCACCACAACAACAACATAAACAATTGCAAGGTGGACTTTGTTCAGAGCCTGTCACTGGCAACCGCCAACAACCGGCAAGAACCAACTCGCACGCGCACGCGCGCAGACACGCACACGCCGCGCGCGAGCGCGCACGCGCGCGCTTGCAGAGCGCAGGCATGCACGCACTCACGCAGTCTGGGCTAGTTGCCACGCAAAGCATGTCAAAACCAAGACTGTTGCGGGATGCCGTGTGCTCCCAGCAACATCCCAGCATCACCCGCATCACCGGGGCAAGCCCACAGACTCGACCAGACCCAAAACCGTCCCAAAAACGCACCCGCTAGAAGATGACGAAGATACTCATCATTTTCCTCTTCACAGACTCCTAAAACTGCATCGACCTACAAGTGATGGATGGACCTCCACGTGGCGCCCGCGATGCTGATGACAAGGATGAGTCATAGCAGTCCCAAAACGGATCCCGTTCGGCCCGCGTCTTTCACAGGGAAGGCAGGAGGGGCGCAGTGACGGTGTCTTCATCGTCCCCCTCATCGTCGCTCTCTCTCTCTCTCTCTCTCTATCTCTCCTAGGGGTGCCACGATGGTACTTTGGATGACACGGAAAAACATGCCCAGGCAAATCTCGGAGGTTAACAGTAGCTCTCCACTGCAGGGGGCTCTCCTGCGGCGGGGGTGACAAACTGGGAATTGGAGCCTGTCCGCGGGCAAGGCTCTGAGTGGCTTGGCTTTGCTTGTGGCAGATGGCCACTGGCATTGCGCAAGCAAAAACGAAGCCATTCAGCAACTGGCCTTTCAAGTGGCTTGGAGTGTCGGATTGCTTTGTCGCCGGCCGGCCCCCATTGCTGGCAAGAAATTTCGCCCGCGCGGTCTAGTTTTTCAGTGGGGCGCCGCCAGGCAAAATGAAAGCTTACTAACACAGCTACTACAAAACTGCGCCCTGTCCACAGGCAAGGCTCCAGTTTTTGAATATCACAAATGCTTCGTCTACCTGTTGGCAAGATGGCAGAAAATAATAATTGAAAACAGGTGGGCGGTTGTTGAATAGCTTCGAATTTGATCTGCTTGGCAAAAAACCGCAATAAGACAAAAGTGTGATCCCAAAGACCTGGCATTGCACACCTCAAGTTGCTTGATCCTCAGGATTCAGAATTCAAGGCTCAACGGCAGCAATGACAAGCAAACATGGCGCTTATGTGCTTCAGAAGCAAGAGATTGCGCTCTCAACGAGCGATTGGGGGATCGGTTTGGGCCTCTGTCTCTAGGGCCGAAAAGCAACGCAGGGGCGAGGGCGGTGAGCTTTGGTCCTAGGACCAGAGACGCCGCCAAATACAGCTCCGGTTCCCAAAGCCGCCCCGCAAGTTGGAGGATGGTCAGCGACTTGGAGAGCGGATGAAAGCCTTCCGCGGAGAGACGGGGAACCCAGAACAGCACAAGCGCAGGCTGTTCGAGTTTGGGAGAGGGAGGACGAGAAGCCAGCAGCCGGAGAACGAGATTGACAGCGAGGACCTGCAAGTAGCGTGGATTGCAAGGATTTCCGCGCGCCGAGCCATGGCCTGATATTGATGTAGCGCATGTTGCCAAAGCCCTGGCCTGCGGGTTACGTGAGGCGACAGCCTTAGAATCCCCAGTCAGGTCCATTTTTAGACACCAAGGGCAACTCACTGCACCTTCTGTGGGTAATCGGAGCACTTCCTACCCGCCATTGCAGTGACTAGAAGGGTTCAGAAGCATGAATCGAAAGCAATTTTGGACACACGTGTGGCTTGTCAGACTTGGGCTAAGGGCTCAACTCAGCGCCAGAAGAAGTGCAAGAAAGCTTTGCGGGCTGTTTGCAAGTTGTTCGCTTGGCTGTGCTGCGCTTGCTTGAATGGGGAGTACTCTGGATGGGATGCAAACGAAATGGTTGCAGGGGAGGCCTTGCAATGGTCAGCTACTTCTGAGCTTCGCTCCTTTGTCAGGTCGAGATGCCCGATTTCCAGGAGCTGATCAGGCGCCGGAAGGTCAAGCGCGACGGAGATGAGGTGTGCGCCGCCATGCCTTTGACACTGGATCCCAGGTTGCCCAGTTCCGACCAAAGTAGACGCCAAGCCCCCTTTTTTCAAAGGGAGGCTATCCAATCCCAATCACATTGATAAACGATGTAACAAGAAAAAGCGCCCAACGCAAGCATCCAAACTTCTTATGCTGGCTGGTTGAGAAATGTAGGCTACTTGCATCACATCGGGATTCCGGCCCCTGTCGAAGAAAAGGAGATCTGCACAGTCAAAGGTGTACCAGTGCTCAATGGCGCATTTGCCGTGTAGACGCCCAGCTGGGGGGGGCATCATTCTCCACCAAAAGCGGTCCTCTGAGATTGTTGGGGCTGCGCAGTGTCCATGTGGTCAGCAACGGCACACCGATGGTCTAACGCAGTCCTGCTGCTTCAGCTTCACAGGCAGCTGCGTTTTTCCGTGCAGGGCGCCGGCCCCCCCAATAGAATGGAGGCGTGATCACGGCGATAGCACATTCGCCAAGTAGATAGGCCAGAAGACGGTTCATGGCTAGGAGTGCTTAAACACAAGAACTTGTCTGACAGTGCATATTTGTCATCCCAAGCGGTAAACCAAAAACAACATCCACGCGACTTGGAATAACAACCCTGCAACATTTGCAAGGCCCCCGTGTTTTGAATGGCTTGGGCTTGGTTTTTGAACGCGGGTGCGTTCCCAGGCAGAAGGAAAAATAAAACTCCAAGCCATTCAGAAGCAAATTGGGAACCCAAGCCGCTTAAAGACTAGACTCGGTCCGTTGGCAAGCTGCCGGGCCGAGCAAAAAAGGACATTGGTGTTTACTGCGGGGTAGTTGGGCAGGCCACCTCCACACTACACCCTGTCCAGTTGCAAGTTGCCATTGCTTGTTTGGCTTTTGCTTCGACTATTCCCAGACACAGGCCTCTAGTTCTTTTAGCGGATTGGAAATTGAATCGAAGCTCCAGGCCTCTAGGCCCTTGAGTTTTGTTCCTGGCATGGAAACCGCAAGCAAAGTAAATGATGCCCATTTGTTTAAGCTCCAAGGTGCGAGGATCGCCTGTCGCAGGCTCGTCGGTGCAATGAACGAACTGTTTCCTGGTCAGGTTCCAGCCAACCAAAATGAAACCTGGTCACACGGCTGTTTGTCGCAACACAACACTTCACAAGGCTTTTGAGCAACCACGCTGTCAATCACCACCGTTTCCTGTTGACCAGTACGACGCCCAACTTTGGTGCTGGGCAGTTGGGGTAGTTACCTCTTTTCTCTTGTAAACAAAGCAGTGCGACTTGCGCAGCAAAAAGCAGCTCTCCTGTGCGAAGGGAGACATCGAAGCCCTTCAGCAAGGCTGCAGCCTCTCCAAAAAGGTTCAGTCTCCAACACATTCCAGCGAAACCCGTGACAGAGTAAGTAGCACGGTTCTGCCTGTGCCACGTTAGTCTCCAGCCTTCGCCCAAGCGCCGCTTGGCCTGAGGACAGAAATACTGGATAGCCGTCAGTGCATTCAGTCGAGAGGCCTCTGTGCTCCTCCTCAGCCTGCATGTGCTCTAGAAAGAAACGCTGCAGCACTAGTGTCATGAGCTGGCGCACGCTGATCGATCGAAATGATCTTACGGAGCCCACCGAATTTCCATGGAACGCTGGCACCGGCAGTTTCCCATTCCCAAGACACCCAGTAAAGGCGGGGTCGTTCGCAATACGAACTCCACGAAGCACACAGAAAGAAGGGAGGCACACCCAGAGTTTCCGATACGCTCGCGCAGCTCTCGTCTGAAATGCGTGACGCGTTTTCCATTGCGCTTGGCGTGTTACAACCTTGCTGCACTCTCTGATGATCCGCGGCCCTTCAAAGAAAAGCGCTGTCTTATCGTTGCAGGGGCCACCCTCGACCGCCGAAGGGGCAATGAGCGCAACAAGGACCACTGGCCGCAATAAGAACAAAGCCAAACTTGAAGCCAACGCTTGGAAAGACATGGTCGGGCGCCCGGGAAAGTCAAGCTTCCGGCACTCTCTGTTCGTCTCTGCAGTGGCAACCCCTACCACCTTTGCAGGAAGTTTCCTCCAGGGCTACCCTGACTGCAGAAACACAAAGACCCTTGACCAGGTGGCCGCTTCGCTGGCCGCAACTCTTCCAGGAGCTCTTCAGCAGCTGTCACCTGAGCACGGCCAGGGCAAGCGACCCCTCCTACGTTAGCTGTGCGCCGTGACAAATATATCCCTTAGGCGCTGTGAATGAGCTACAAACTGCATATTGTCTCTTCCCATTTGCGTTTACCGATGCTGCGAAAGCACTGAGTCTAATTTTTAGAATTTAAGAACAAGTATTGGCAATGCAAGGTTTAGATCAATTCTGATCGGCCATGTTCAGATTAGTAGTGGAAATCTGAGACCAAGCGCTGGAAATACTTAGTTTAGTATTGGCAGATCATCAAGTCTGGGCAAATTTGCCTAAGATTAAGCGTTTCAGGGGCTCATCCCCAGCTCCCCTCACCCCGCACAGCGGGGTTGGGGAGGGGGCTTCTCCGGAGGGTGGCGTCGGAGACAAGGTGCACATTTGCAATTTGTCACCCTCGTCCAAAACGCTTCAGTGGAACGTTCTGTTGCCGGAAAAAACTCCGGGCAAAAAACATGGGCTAACGTGACAAATCGGGCAACAAACCCGGGCAAGCAAATGGGGGCAAGCGTTAGGAAATCCAGTTTTTGTGGTCCCCAACAATGAAGTGTAATGTAACTTCTTTACACAAAAGGGAGACAGTCGCACAAGAAGCCCTGATTTTGTTTAAACTGAGTGTCTCGTGAGATTTAATGTCAAACTTGTTTGTGGGGTTTGGAATCTGACAATATGGCATGGCAATATTAGTTCTGAATTGGCAATACTAAACTATGCACTGGGAATCTAAGAGCAAGTCTGAAAATTTGCAATGCTAAAAAAGCAAGCGCTGGCAATCCGAGAGTGAGGTTTGGCAGTAATCTATGTAGAATTCGTACTATGAAATTAAGTACTGGGAATCAGAGACTACGCTAGGGCAATATTCAATGTAGAACTGGCAATGCTGAGAGTACGTCTTGGCAGTACTAAAGTAAGTACTGTGCATCTGAGAGTAAGGCTTGGGAAAGAAAGGCCTGGCCGGCTAGCCTAGCCCCGCTTCCCGGCACCAATTCTATTTTTGCCGGGGGGCTAACCATTTCGTCTCGCGGGCCCCCTTGTCGGTAACTTTTCTGAGGGTTAGCGCCCTAATTTTGTTTTTGGACAAAAGGCTAGCCCCGCCTTGTTAGGGTCATGGGGGTCCTAACCCTCAAGGGGACATTTGGCTTCTTCTTGGTTTTGGCTCGATGCTTCCAGCGTTTGCCTATGCCACGCGAAACTGTGGACTAGTCATATTTGCGAAAGTTGACCTTGCCGTTTAAGGAGGACCCTAAAAAAATCAACACAGGGATGCCTTAATAGAACACAACTTCTTGTTGATTGCAGCCACTAGCCGACGCTCAGGGCACATAGTTCGCAGCGCTGGCTGTTGCACTGCAAATGTACATAGCGGCCGGTTTGACACTAGCGCCGGGAAATTCTGTCTCGCAGTTTGGCGCGGCTTGACACACTTTTGCAAGGAATGGCTCGGATTCGGAAGGCGAGAAGCAAGGAGAAGGCAATTGTCGACCCCAACACGTTCTGACACGGTTCTCACAAACCTACCCCCCTTGCAAACCATCATGGAACACGGGCGGCTCTGGAGAAGGTTGACGAAAAAGGGACCTTGGACAGAACCGTGTCAAACCGTGTCAAAGGCAGATGCGTCCGGCAGAAGGTCGGAAGGTTGGGCTTCCCCGCGCTTCTCAAGTTGAGCTTCTCCTTCCTACACCGATCCGCGCCTTGGCAACAGCGTGTCAAACCGGCCACCGGACCTTATTTACAGGAAAACCTGTGTCAAACCGTGTCGGGGAGGGTCAAACAACTCGAGTTTCGTGAGTCTTGTTTCGCCTCGCCTTTTTAATTGCCCTTTCGCCTTGCGGTGCCTTTTTGCCAGGCAGTTCAAAGTCCAAGCTGGCCAACAACTACTTGTTCATTGGTAAGTTCAGCCGATTGAGAACAAACAGTTTTCGGCAAGCCACCACAGAATAAGCAAACCAAGAAAATTTAGAAACTAGGGCTACGCCAACGGGGAAGGTGTACTTTGAAGCGGGCTGGGCTTTGGAGTTTTGCTTTCGCCCGGGGTGAGCCCTGGTAGGAACCAATAGCATCCTGGATGTGCAGGTTGGCCCCCACAGAAGAAGTCTTCGAGTTGCCCGGAATTTCAAGAGTATGGTTTGCTTAGCGTCCTCCCCAGGCAATAATCTGAAACAGCCGGCACGTTTCCACTTGACAGGCTCTCGTTTTTCTGCGCGTGTTGAGCCTCTGTTGTGTGAGTGTTTTTTTTGCGTAGACGCTAGTTGCTTTTTTGCTCGGGTGCTGTTCTGCACGCGTGTGTTGGTTTTGTTTGTTTGACGGTCTGGTATGACTGTTTTCATGTTTAATGGTTTGCGCGTCCGTTTGTTTCTTTATCGTTTGTTCGGTTGCGGGTGTCTGGTTGGTCGCTTCCTTGGTCTGGTTGTTTTCTCGTTCGCTTGAAGTTACTTTGTGAAAGTGTTGTCTTGAATTAGGGTATCTTTGTCAATGCTCGGGCTGGAAGCGACCCCCTTTATGGCAAGGCTCCTACGCGCGCAAGGCTTTGACATTTGCTTTTGGACAACGAACCTACGCAGCTTCAGGCCGACAGAAGCAGTCACATCAGTAATTCCGACTCAATAGCGAATGTGTCAAAAACGCAAGGTAAAGTTAGTGCCTTGAGTCAGCCAACCCTGACCTTCATTGCAAACATCAAGAGGGACACCGATCAGATATCAATGGAAGTCCATTGCCATTATCGATGACAGACTCTTTGTGGCAGAGTGCGTCCTTGACTTACTGGGTTTCCTTTTAAAGCTGCAACTTTGGAACGTGCAAAAGGAGGTCCGCAGACATTGGGGTTGAACAGCACAGTCGAGGGCTCCTGCGAGAGACTCGCAGGGCCTTTTTCGCGAATCCGCGCGGTGCCCAAATTCGGTCTTATTCTCTTCTTGGCTAGGGCTGTGACAGAGTTGACTCGCAGAAGTTTAGCCTACAAACAAAAGTCGCGCCATGTCTGCTCCGGCAGCTATGGCAGAGTTGACCCGAGGCTGTGCTTTGCGCAGAGCAACGCATCGCTGCAAAGACATCTTGTTTTGCAAGCCGGCAAGCGAATTTCGTGGAGCTAGCAAGGTTAACAGGAACCCTAATCCGAAAAGCGGCCTTGCCTGCCAGGTTCTGTAACAAGCTTGGAAGAACGGAAAGCGGCGACCTAGCAACCAACCGTACGCCAACTACATCCGTGAAGCGAGCAAGCAAAGACCTACGCAAAGGCCCCTAGCCAGAGGGGTCTTCAGGGAGAGCTTTCCTGGTAGGGGGTTTGCGCTGGACCGGGTTGCGTCATCTTTCTTACACTATGGCTGCAGGCTGCTGGCAGCTCAAGCGTGTCAAACTCCAACCGTCCATTGTTCATGGCCATATAGCTAACCGGCCAGTAAATAGCATCTGGCTAGGCCGTCTTGAGATATATGCGTACGAGACTTGATAGGCGTGATGATCGCTTTGATTATGATGATGTTGATGATGATGTTTGCCAGCATGGTAAGGAGAGCGCTACCGTGCTTACGCGCGCCCTCGACGCAAAGTCGGCAGTCTGGCTCCTGCAAAAGACGCAGATCGTTGGGACCACTGTGGCTCATTATCATCGTAAGCAAGATTACGAAGACCATGATAGTTCTCATTATCATGATGGCGAACATCATTAGCATCAGAGTGATCATCATCCCTCTCAAGTCTTTACACGTTGGAAAATTCATGCGACGTTCTCTTTATCTTCCCGCGAGTTTTCCTTACATAGGGTGTAAGACTGGCGTTAGACACTGCTTGTAATGCAACGGATGCTACGATAATACTCGTGATGACACGGAAGATGACGGTCATCATCACGCCTGCCCAAGCATGATCGCGCAATGTTGATGATGATGTCACACACGCAGGCCCTTTTTTCCTCTTTCGCGCCGAGTTGGCGATCAGGGCGTGTCGCCTTAATCAAGATTAGTATCATCGTAGCATCTCCTGATGTTTGACATGACTTCTCAATTGTTTATACGACTTGAGAGGGCATCCGTATGTTGTAGCAGAACTTTGGGGTTGCGGGCGTTTGAAGGTCGAAACCTAGAGTTCCATCAATTTGAATGAAAAATGGGGTGGTCGGTGCTCTTAGAGTTTCCAGTGCTCTCACTGTTTTGTTGGGGGCGTGTTTTTGGTGTTTTGTTGGGGGTATCAAAATGCGTGTGCTTGAGAGACTAGGCGCCGCGTTGAATAGAAAGGCGTAAGACTTCTTCGGCTTCTCGGCTCGAGCTACAAGTATGCTGGGTCAAGTTTCTGTAAATCTGTGCAGGGGTGTGTAGCAAGTTTGGACTGGCATGAGGGTGGCATTTGTTGGGTGCAAACACATAGTCTAGTGATATCCTTCTGTTGTATTGCTTAAGCAGTAGACCTGCGACACACGTGCCTTGGAGCCCGAGGTTTTGGACTTGGAAAGTTTGGCTTGGAAAGTTTGGCTTGGAAAGTTTGACCAGTTTCAGCTGCCGGGCATTTTCTTGCTGCACACAGCTGACGGACAGGATCAAAGCCAGGACGCGCGTGCTTCTTTTCGGGTTAATTTCTTGCAGTCCACTGTTTTTCCATTGTGCGGCTTTTTGGTAGAGTGATGTTGCGGGGTTCGGTTCTTCAGCTTGTCACTTCTGGAATTATCATTTGTTGAATTTCTTCGGTAGGGCACTAATGCGGCTCGCTTTCAATGGGGCCGGCTTTCAGATGTATTTGTAACAGGGGTTGTTTTTCTGGAAAGGGTTTGTTGGCCTGCATTGTCGGTGTCTTGATGTTGACACGCATGTTGTTTTTTAAAAGGCATACCTTTGGCCAGGGCGAGCCGGTCGATTTGCGTACCTTTTTTTTTCGTGCCTGTTGCTGGCCTGCCATGTCGAACTGCTGATTTTCGTACCTGTGATTTCTTTAAGGGCCTGTCACTGGCCTGCCGCTGACTTTCGTCCAGACATGCTGGACACTGGGCGGGACACGCGGGACATCGAGCCGGACACGCGGGACATTGAGCGGGACGTGTGGGACATCGAGCGGGACACGCGAGCGGGACATGCGGGGCACTAAGCGGGGGACTTGCGGGACACCGACATTAGGCGAGAGACACAGACAATGATTGTGTGGAGGATCACGCGCAACTGTTTGCAGAAACACGGCGGGGGCTTTGCTCAGGCGACGCAATGCGTCATACTTTTTGATTAAGATCAAAGCAGTGGGTGATGATTTTGTGTTTTCTTGCATGAGGCTTCGACGCACCAACCGTGGGCGCGTCGCCTGCAGGTTGATAATGTAAAAGATCTAAGTGTGGCCTGCGTTGTTCCGCAAGCTATCCAAGCAGTTGTTTAAACTTTTCACATTACACACAGCGCAGCACAATGGTAGCGGATGTTATAGGGCGTTACGCGCACCGCGCGTCGCGTGATGCGTAAAGCATGAGAATGTAAAAGATCAGATCTAGCTGTAGCCTGTGTCGTTCCCAAACCCAACTAATCAATAGTTTAAAGCATAACACACAGCACAGGGCAATGATACTGGATATTATAGGGCGCGCCGCGCAACGCTCCCAAGGTTGATAATGTAAAAGATCTAGCTGTAGCGTGTGGCGCTCCTTAACCTAACCAATCAATAGTTTGAAAATGTTACACACACGCAGTACAGCACCATGTTAGTGGATAGCCACGCGCCGTAATCTTCAGCATCATTCGGTTGTGGTGTGCGTAAGTGCCGTAATGTTTTCAATGGCCAAGCAGGAGAATCATTTTTGCTTTGACTTGTTACAGTGGCTATGTTGACGATGCCGCCTTTGCTTTCAGCGCTACTGTGGCCTAGAACACGGGCAGCTCAAACTTGTGTGGGGAAAGTGTTAGTGAGTACCCGGGTCTCCTCGAAATTTGCTGGCTGTTTGGGAACACGTAATTGTGAAACAAAGTCGGACAGTGTTAGTTTCCCTGCACCTTTTTTTCACCAAGTCTAGGCACCTTCTCACAGAAAAAGTCTAGTCTCGAAAAATATGTTGTGTCTTGTGCTTGTGCATCATCGTGAAAAAGATTCCATTCTGATCCTTTCATGCCAAAATGTCGCGCGATGTGTCATCTCTACTCGCAGAACGCCTGTGGTTCCTCCAAAGCAACGACACAGGCTGCGCAAACACATAACGATGCGGCTTCAACAACTGTCCTTAAAAACGCGTGTTGTGCGCAGCAAGATTAACACACGTGCCATCTCTTTCTACGTCAGCCCAACGTGCAAAAATGGAAAGCTTCAAAAAAACTCACCAAAGAACAAAATGTAGACTCTCCAAAAAATGATTGTCTACATGAGAACACAGCGGAAAACACAATTTGTTCTGCAAGGGCCACGGGGCCCAAGATTTTTTGCCAAATAGCAAACTGGCTAAGAAGTTCGATAACGCCATCAAAAACCAGGTGGGTTGGTGGGGGTTGCATCACACTGGCTGTAGATTGATACATCATAGGCATCCGTCTTGGGACCACTCTGGCTCATCATCTTCATCATTGCATCTTCATCATTGCGCAGTGCTATTTGGACAGGCTTGATGATGATCGTCATCTTCTGTGTCACCACAAGTATCAGCAGAGCGCCCGTAGCAGTGCAAGCAGTGTCTAGCGCCAGCCTGACACCCTTTATAAACAAAACTTACGGGAAGAAAGATTGACGATG